ACGAAGACGAGATATTGATCTTATATCTGAACTGCGAAGTCCGACGAGATGTTGAATGCTCGGTTGTACTTCAGAAGACGTCGTTTTAGCGCTTTGTGGGTTGTTCGGAGTGCCTACCACGTAGCCACAGTGTCAGGCCACGTCTCCGTATAATAATGATTCATGACTACCACAAATTAGGGGTTATGGTATACCTCTTGTAACAATGAGCGCGAGCACACTATTCCATTGATATAGGTGCCAACGAATTTAGAGCTTCACGTGACGATCTAAATCACCTGTTTAATTGTGAGGAAGTTTTTCGCCTACTAGGCTCAGGATCTGAAATGCTATTAACTTTTTCCCCACCATTATTACCTTTGACCTTGCTTCAAAGAAATCGTTATTGTAGGAGATATTTTTAGCACAACTTGATCGGTCTACCCTGGATTTCTCCAACATGCCAAAACTATACGGAAGAACAGTGAAATACACATATGAGTACGATCCTTCGGGAAATTTGACGCCAAATGTCAAAATCTCATGTGGGAATTTTGTTCATGGTAAAGCTTACCATTTTTTTTCGTCTGTAGCGGTATCAGCCATGTCCTTACATTAATTATACATTTTCAGGAAATGCCAATGCAAACTTTTTTGGTCGACAAGCTCAAGGAGTCAAGTCACTTAAGCGAAATAAGATAGTGGATACTGAGGTTCCTTTTTCAGCGATTAAAATGTTGCGCCTAATTACTAATAGACAGATCAGCCTAACTAGTTTCTTGACTTTTCAAAAAAAGACAAAAGCCATAAACAGATGAATTTTTAAATTTCCTACAACACTATTCAGCGCCTCCGCCCCTATGCGAGTTACTCTAGTGAACAATCTGAAAGCGATGAAGACCGTCCGAGCTCTCCGAGAGAGGATTCCTCCCCAGAGCGTGACGACAGCCATCACATTAGATACACAGAACGCAAGCACGTTCCTGGCACGAGATACTTTCATAGAGAGGTTTGTTTGAGTATTAGTAAGAAAAAGAGTCATAAGAGTAAGTGAATGCTGACATAGCCGAATAATGTAAAATTCTTGAGCACTATAGTGAAAAATATCTAGGGACCCTCGCCAGAGATTGAAGATCTTATGGACGACATATCTTCTTTCATGTATCAGCAAGCAAGAGATATCCTCTCTTCGGAGTTCCCGGAATTCCCCAATCTATTTGAAAATCTCGAACATGGCCCTTCCATAAAGCATCATCCTCATTTTGGGAAAAGGAGGTATCACAGCGATAGAAACAAAATTCGTGATTATTAATGCCAATCTAG